GGCTGCAAGGGCCACCTTTCTAGCTGGCATGGGCCCTAACAAAGCTAGTTAGTTAGGTCAGAGAACTGATGATAGTTTCCAATCAGTCGGACTTGGTGATCTTAAAGCTCTGTTCCAGCTTCAATGATCCTGTGATTCCAAACTGACTGGAGCTGGGAAAAAACAAGTCACTGTCAGAATGGTATGGAAACACACTCCTTCACCTCGTGCTCAGCACATGCTGGCACAAAACTTCTCCCCACTGCAAAGCAACCACCACCTTCCCTGCACCATGGGCAGACCATGCCAGCTATTGACTCAGCTGCTCTCAGAACGTTTCCTCCACTTCTCCTGCCGGCACAGCCGGCTTATTGCTGCCTTATGTAAAGTCAGTTACCAGCCTCTGAACTCAGACTGCAGCTTTTCTCACTGAGCATGGAGTAGGCAGGCATCAGAAACCTCCTCAGCCCAGCCAATGCTGACTGCTGACAGCAGAGCAAGGACAGCGGCAGTGACCAGAACCAGAGCCCATGCAATGACCTGCTGGACGCTGCCGAGGGTAAGCACTCTCCTGAAAAGTGCCATGGGGAGTTAAAGCTGGAAAGGAAAGAATCTGGAGACCTGAAATCCTTCATCAGGGTGTTTCAAAGCTAGGAAGATCTAAACCACCTGTCTTGTTTTTACTTAGCTGTGTGGGGCACCACTGGGTTCCAAATTCCACCTGCCATTCCCAAGTTCATAGATTCACAGAATGGTCAGGGCTGAAGGGACCTCAAAGCTCCTTAGGGTCTCAGCACCCTCACAGGGAAGTTGTGCCAGCTGCTGTTTGGAAAGAGAGCACAAAGGCACTGCCTCAGTCCTCTGAGTTTGGCTTTTGTAGGAGTAAATCCCAGTTCAGTTTTACTGAAGCAAAACACAGCCTGGCTTGCTTCTACATATAAATTAAAGGCACCGAAGAACATTAATGAGCACATTCTGTGATCAGATTTTACCTGATTAATTTTTTTAATCACATTTATTTCAGAAGCAATAAAGACTTGGACATGAAACAGGTCACCTGGTTACTTCTGAAAATGGAGGAGGGTCTGCCTACAGTCACGGATCAAAAACAGAGGGCAGGGATGAGAGGAGAGAAAGAAATCCAAGTATATGGGCAAATACAGCTCATTTCTCCCACCATCAGCTGTTAATACAGGTAAAGATGTTCACAGTTATCTCTGCCCTTTTAACCTCTCTCCTCATTGATCCAACCATCAAGGACTAATCTTGGGCTTATGGCATCACACAGCTTTCTACCAGCAAAGTGCAATGACACAACCCGATCGAGAATAGAAAGCAAGGAGGAGGAAAGTGCTAAAATGGAACAAGTAGTTATGGAACATTGTTACAAAATCCCTGGGTTAGCCTCTCTGCAGAGCACTCTGCAGAGTAAATGCCACAACGACAACAGGACCCAGGAAAAGTTTCCCCTAACAGCATCTTCTCCTGAATTCACTCCCACAGCAGGGCTGAGAGGTGCTATGGAAAACCCTTAGCTTGCCCATCATTTGGAAGGCAGGACAGGTATGCTGCTCCCCCTTCCCTAAAACATGGAGCTGGGGCGCTCCTCAGGCTTTGCAGTGGAGTCATCAGACTTCAAATCCAGCATCCTCCACCCCACCACAGAGTCAAGGTGGCAGTGAGCCCGGGGGAAGTTCCACTTAGAGAGCCAAGAATACCTTATCTCGCAGGATAAGGTGGAGCTTTACTTTTCCCCTCTTGCAAAATCGGTTATTAAGTAATCTGTTTATGTCACACATACCAGCACTCCTCACAGGGGCATTACAGCAGCACAGTGTTACCTTCAAGGAAAGGAACGTGCAGTGCTCTAAATGAATGGGAAGGGTCCTCTCACATGGCTCAGGGCAGTGCCTCTCCCTGATTTCCCCCAGGAAAGCCAACTTGTACTTGCTTTCCTTCGTGCTCTGCCCTAGACCTGGGCAAACTGGGCTCTTCCAGCCAAGCAACTCCTCCTGACTAACACGCACCGAATCCGCCACCGAGCCCTCTCGTGGATCCAGGCAGCAGGGAGGAGCTGGAGTGGAGTAATTTCCAAATGTCAACAGCTGATATCACAGCAACACATTCCAGTGTAGGACCAGGGTGAGGTGCCACCTGAGGGACGGACTAAACAATCCCTGGAAGCAGGCCCAAAGGACATACCTCTGTCAGGTATGTACAGTTTCTGTTAATGCTACATTTACTCAGTGAGGGCACAAGAGACAATTGTCCCACCCTGAAAATATCTCAAAGCCTTCCTGACCAGAAATGCCCTCTTTTACCCCTCCTTAAAAAGCCAAGTCCTTCCCTCTCCCCCGCACCACTACATAACCAAATTGGTGGGTGATGTGGTTGGAGTTGCTATCTCCATCCCACAGACATCACTGACACAGTGAGCCATGTTCCTCTCTTCTCCCAAAGAACACGCCAAAGAGGGATGCTCAAACTGACACTGCAAAATTCTCTCTTTGCCTCTTTGAACTCAAAGCAACTTAAAAACAGCAAAAGCAGCCTGGTTCCAAGGCGTATTATAATCATCTGCTGGACACTTTCCCATTCTCTCCTGCTAACTCCTGCTGCCAGGGAATCCCTGAGTTCTACTGCCCTATCTCTTCTGATAAAGGTTACAGCTCCCCTTCTCCTCACAGAAGGAAAAGAAACAATCTCCTCTCCACTCACTTTCAGTGAAATTAAGTCTCTTGACAGACACTCGCCTCCTTTAAAACACCCCACTCTAAGTGCAGGAATCTAACAGGGACTTAAAAGCATCTGCACCAAGTGCCAGCCAAAGGTCTGCAACCTGACATCTTAGCCCTTCCACTGGATCTTAAGCTGACAGAAGGCAGGGTTAGGTTAGATTAGACACTGGGAGGAAATTCTTCCCCATGAGGGTGGGGAGGCCCTGGCACGGGGTGCCAGAGAAGCTGTGGCTGCCCCATTCCTGGAACTGCTGGACAAGCCTTGGAGCAACGAAGTGGAAGGTGTCCCTGCCCATGGCAGAGGGCTGGAACTGGAGATCATTTCCAACCACAACCACTCTGTGAGAGTCCAGTTGATCCCACACATGCAGCCCATGACTGCACACTGGATACACACACACATCACTGTGGAGAGACAGAGGCAGCCGAGCACACACAGAGAGCTGCAGAAACACTGAGGCTGGAAACATGGCGACAAATAAGATCTCTCCAAAGTGCCAAAGCCTTTAATGCTTACAGGCGCTGCTGCAGTGCCCCAGATCGCCAGGCACGCCGAGAATTCCGGGCTGTCCCGCTGTGCAGAGAGCAGAGCGGCTGAGCAGCGGCTCCCTGGCCGACCCACCCATGCACCAAACGTGCCCTGCTGCCCTGGCAGATGCCTCGGCCTTGGATCCTGGGTGATTTAGCTGGGCTGCTCGCAGGAGCCTGGCAGGAATCAGGCGCTGCCTTCAGCACTCCCGAGGGAATGAGCTGGCTGACAGCTCCGGGGCTCTCCGGAGGCTCAGCCCAGCAGCTCCAGCTCCAGGGGCCTGTCGAGTACAATTAGAAGCACTTGTTTCACCTCCGCTCCTCGCTCCCCCAGCGAGATGAGCTGTAACTGCTCTGTTAGCCCAGCTAAACCAAATGAGGATATCCACATCAGAACAAAGGATATCAACACCACAGCCACAAACAGTACTTCAGGCAGTAACCTGACAGTCAGAAGGACACTCCTGTGCTCATCACTGACCACCACTTGTACTCTGCTCCTGGAGCATCACACGTGGCCCTCGCACCTCAAAACAGCACGTAGCAACATTTAAGACAGTAAAACATAAAAGAAAATCCTCTCTCTCTCTCTTCTCAAATGCTTCTGCTGTGCCAAAGTGCCAGTTATTCCACAAGCAAAAGGCTAATACAAACCTGACCCTGCAGACAGCAAACAGCCTCATTAAACCCAATACGATGATTTATAGTGGCTGAGCACAGATTACTTCATTCCAGACAGGAAGAAAACACAGGCTTTTCGGTGGAAAGGACTGGCTTGGTTTGCTGCAAGTGTTCTAACTCCTCTTTTTAGAGACTATTTCCTCTGCTACTGCTGGATCCTTTCCTGTCCATTACTGGTGACAATGACATGGCTGTAACTCTACACCTTTCAACACATTTTCAGTCGAAAAGCCACAGGCATTTATTTGCAAATAAAGAAGTTAGAATAAAATTCTATCCTGAAGTCAGGAGGGGAAGGATAGTTCTGCAAGGTGAAATCCTCTCCCTTCTAGGTAAAGTCCTACCCTATCCTTCTCTCCTTCTTCTCCCCCACTAGTTTATCAAGCCCACAGACAACCAATCCTCAGAAAACAAGAAAAAGAGAATTTGCTGCTATTAACTCACTCCTATCAGCTTCACCATTTTCCAGGAAGAAACTTGAAGTAAACTCCTTTAAATTCCTTCTACCTTTGGGATTTCACAACATTTTTAGTTAGAGAGAAAACAGAAACACTTCCAAGGGAGTCTACTCTTTCCCTATAAAGTGAGGAAACTGTTTTCTCTGTTGAAAAGTTCTCCTTCAAGGGAAAACCCTTCTCTTTATACCTCCTGAGCACAAAGGATAACCCAGGCAAAGGTTCACTTCCTGCCTTAAGTCCACCCTGACACTTGGTACAAATTCTGCTGGTTTTCCCACTTGGCTTCTCCACCTGCCTCCACATTTCCAGGCTCACAGGCAAGCACTGCAAAACTATTCACAGGGGAAAGCAAAGCAAACAGCACTGGTGCTTCCCAGCCATTGTGCAAGGCACAGCAAACAGGACTTTGGGGGAGGTGGAAGCGTGTGCCGGCAGCGCGCAACAACGTTTGCTCCCGAACTGAAACAGAGCATTTCTCTAAAAAGTCACTTCTACCCCGACCAAGCCTGCCCATGTCTCAGTCAATTTTAGGTCCAAGTACTGGGCAAACCAAAGGCACCCACATAAAACACCAAAGCAAAGGCACCCTTCCTCCCCAGCAGTCCAGGTCTCTTACCTTCCACTTCTTCTTCATCACATACGTGTTTAAGGAAGGAAGCCCCTCTATCCAGTACTGCCTCGTCCTCCATCCTATAGTAATAGAAAAGAAAAAAGGAATGCTCAGACTTCTCCTGGAGCGAGCTGTTTGAACCAGCCCAAGTCCTGGGCAGGTTAACTTGCAAGCTGTTGTTCATGTTCCTGTGGGCACTCCAGTCCTCCTTCCAGTGCCTGCTGTTCCTTCATAGAGCTCCTTTCACATGGCGTTTGCTTTAAGCTGGCCTCACGTAGCTCCGATTCTGACCTTGAGAGGACATCAGTGGTGACAGGTGTGAACAAGGTAATCCCAGCTACAAGTCTTTGGGGGCTTTCCTGTTTGCTGTGTCTGGCTTTCCCCCCCCTCCTCTTTGCACAGCCCCGCGGGCAGGCTTGGGGCTGTCTGGGAGAGCTGCTGGGATGGCAGTTTGCCTCTGACGCCCAGCCGAGCGAGCGGCGCAGGGAGGGGAGCGGGCACACCCCACGGGGCCAGGGGCTCCGAGCACAGCCCCTGAGAGCAGCACAGCACACTTGTCTGCTGGGAGCCCGGCTTTGTGTCACATGTTGGCCTCACAGAAATCTGACATATGAGGATTATCCCGGGACCGAGCTACAGTAAGTCAGATCATCACAGCAGTCATTTATGTGTGTCACCCATTCATTCATCCATTTGGGGAAGGGTTTTAGTGGCTGCTGTCCTTCCCCTCCCCTTTTCTCTCCACCTCTGATCTGCCTCTGCGGACAGCAGAGACTCCTAATTCCACACTTCTGCCATCGCCGTGCTTCCGCAGAGCCGCCCAGGACTCCTGCTGCTGTGGTTCCCCCACAACATCAGAGCCTGCCTGCGTTCCGAGGCTACATCTGCAAATCCACTCTTGACAAGCAAATACAAAAATAATAAAGTAATAATAAACAAAATTGGAACTGTGTTAAATAATCTCCTTAGAGGCTAAGTACACATTTGCTGCTCACTACTGGGCAGTCGCCATGGGAGCTTTCTATCCTAATACAGCTGAGACCAAGCTGGTCACTTGTTTTCATACCAAAAATCAGACATAAAACAACATATTTTCCTCATTTTCCCTCAGGGAAATAGGAGCAAACTCAGTTCAGAGTGAGACAAGGCCTTCAAAACTTCTTCCCATCCATATTGCTTCCATTCAAGATCCTCTGAGAGCAGTAGCAGCAAACACCTGCAGATTATCTTAATGGAATATTCAAATTCAGGAGGGTACAAATACTGAACAGATGAATACCAAGAGTCCAGAATGCCTTAGGGTGTCTACCTTGCATGCCAATGCCTGGCCACCTAACTAGAAAATAAAAAATAAGACTCAGCCACAAAAGGAAGTACCGAGTCCCATTTCACAAAAGCAGTACCTCAGTAGCCACTCTCCCACCTCTGCCAAGTTGTCCTCCACAGCTTCAGCCAGCTCCTCCTTCACACAGGCTGTTTCTGCCTCAACTCCAGGAGCCAGAGGATTTGAAGCAGAATTTTCCCTGAGCTAGGAAAGGTGCCATTCCCCATGCAGCTGCTGCTGGGTGCAAAGGGGTGGGACGTGCTCCTTGCCAGCACCGCAGACCAAGCCAGCACTCAGGCACACATCAGCCTCCCCTGAAAGCTCCAGCTCTTCATTAAATTATTTAAGGCTATTTATGCGTCTTTTCTAAGGCAACAGAAGGGAACATATCCCAGGGATACTCTTGCCTGTTTGCAATGATTGTAAAGGCACAACCCCATATTTTTTTAATTATTTTTTCCTGCAAAGCAGCACAGTAGCTCCTTGCTATAAACACAACTGGAAACATCTGGAACAGATGGGACTGGATTTCCAGACCAAACACAAACTACAGGAACTTTATTCCCCTGTAAAGTCTGTACTTACCCTGGCATCCAGCTCCCTTCCCTGAGCACCCACACATGTGAAGGTGTGTAACACACCTGTGTGTCCCACAGCTCTGCCCAACACTGTGTGCCACAGCCAGCTCCTCCAGCCCAGGCAGCACCAGCCCAGGCATGGAGCAACTGAGAAGAAGCAGCAGCATGGCGGAGCAGAGAAAGGCAAAGGATGGGAGCAATTTCCACTGCCTGCAATGGATACAGTGCTGAGAACCAATCTCCCTGGTTGAAGGTGTGCTCATCCTCCCCAGGGCAGCAGAGCACCCTCCCAAGCATCACCCTGACAGTGCTGAGCATCCACAGCAGTGGGAATGGCCCCCACCTTCCCAGGAACATCACCTTGCCAGCCTGGAGTGGGTTTATCACATTTAACAGCCATGCTTTTTTAGCTCCAGAGGGCTGGAAAACTGATCAGCAAGACTGATGCTTTCCCTGAAACATGTATCTGAAGGAGCTGGGGGGTTTAGAGGGCCAGGAATAGAGCTTGGGTTGCCTTGGCACAGCGCCCCGGCTCTAATCCACAGGAGTTTAGTGATTAGACTCCAAGCACCACCTCCCTTGACTTGGTCTTTTCTGCCCTTCTCAGATTATCACAGGATTTCTGTGGGCCAAAATCTAGCAAGAAAACATCCTTTACCAATTTGCATGGGGAAATTATTTCAGCCTCCTGGAATTTTCCAAATACCGCGAAACGGGAGCTGCAGAAATTAAAAAGAAAAAAAAACAGTGATGCAGAACAACAAGAAAATCTTCCCTTGAGTCTTCAGGGAAGACTCCTGTAGGTGAAGCACTGCAGCAAGACCATTATCCCATGGAAGACACACATGGACTGGAGAGAAGAAAGCATGGAAAAAATTTCAGGGCCTCTGAAGAGAAATGTGCCTCCAGTGAAGCCTGGTTTACCAACTCCTTGTTGGAAGGTAAAGGGGTTTTCAGGCATTTCTTGTCTAGATCCACATCCTCATGACTGCTGCTGCAACATTTTGGAAACAAACCTAAAAACCAAAAAAAAAATTAAAAAATACCGAGCTTCTATTTTCAGGGTCTAACAGAACATACTCCAGTGAAAAAAACATGAACTGCTTGAGTAACCGGCCTCTCTGGGCCTATGATGAGATCAGTGCCAAACATTTTTAGAAATGATGTTATGTGTCAATAGGATTTGAACAAGAGTCACACACGGCCAGCAGCAACTCTGCTCTGCCTGCAAGGCGCCGGCAGATACGGTTCACAGGAATATTCTGCCCAGCTACTCAGGAAGAACAAGACCAATTTAGTACTAGCAGGGATCCTGGACTGGCTAATGGCTGCGCTCATCTGGCAGCATCTGTTCTGCTCATCACAACATGAATTCTTCCTGCGGGTCCCCGGCTGCAGCACCAAACACTCGCAGCGCATCTTCCAGGCAAAGCAGCGCGTAAGCTCGGAGTTAGCGATCCCAGCGCTGCTCCAGGCAAAGCAGGCCGGCCGCCAGCTCCCCCGGGAGATGGAGTGCTGCCACCGCACGGCTGCTCAGCTCCAGAGCTGCCAAACTTGGAAGAGCGAGGCCAGGAGAGAGGGAAAGTGGTGTTTGGCGTAAATAAAAAGGACTGATGTGGCAACACGAGATGTTGCGCCGAGTCACAACTCGCCGCAGTGAATAAATGCCTAACAGAGCTGGGGAGCCAGAGGGGAGAGTTCCCGCTCACTGATAAGCTTTTACGATTCTGCCCATTTCCAACGGCTTTTGCAACCAGGAAGAAACCCCAACAAACCCTGAACTGCACCAGGAAAAAGAAACGGAGCCAGTTCCGTAACTGGAGCAGCGTAACACAGAGCCGTGAGAAAGTCATGGGTCAAGGGCTGGGGGAGGAGGGAGCAGTGCCAGCCACAGAGCAGCAGCACGGGGCATCGTGGGCTGAGCTGTTTGGCACGTCCCAAATCCCACAAAGTTTACCCCTGGATCCACCACAATTACAAAAGGAGGGACTTGTTCTTGTAGGAAACATCCACAACCCCACACTGCTCCCCACAGGTGTAACCAGCACTACTTGTGACAACCAGCATCATCCAGCCTTCAAGTCCAGATGGATCAGCCAGACCTGAAGGCTCCCAGAGAGGGGACCTGGACACGAGCAGAGACAAGAGCCACCACCAGTGACACCCAGTGCCCTCACCAAGCCACCCAGGTTAGATGCCAAGTGCAGGAATGAGTCAGCAAGCCAAACAGGCTGCTTCTGTCAGAGGGCTGAGGGGAGACAGAGATAACACTAGCCCTTCTCTCTGCAACCTGTGAAGCGTTCAGACACTGCCATTGTAGTGAACAAGTAAACAGGAAACCAGGAAGGAGACTTGGTCCCAGCTGATGCTCTCACAGCCCATACGCAAATGCGTGAATAAACAGAGCTAATGTGACCAATTCCTTTTTAGGGCCCTGATGTGCTCTGGTTTTCTCACATACTTGCATATGGGGCTCTATCACACAGAAAAAAAGAGCTTCTGACTATGCTCAGCACAGCCTGGTTGATGCACTTTTGGAACATGTTGCCAAATTTATCCTGGATGCATTTTCCCCTGTCAGCTCTAAAGCAGCATTTATTTACAAGCTTTCTCAGCAAAAGGCTGTACTCACCCGGAGCAAAGCAGGACAGAACCCTCTGCTTCGCACACAAAGAGCTTGCACCGTAATATTTATAAACCAAATAAATTCCCAATTCAGTCACCTCATTAGGTGAAATGTTTCCCTCTACGGAGGTGTTCTCAGGGATTGAAATTAAGTCCTGTGACAGGATTTAAATAGGAGTCTCAGTTCTTGAGTAAATCTTGTTTTCAAAACTCTTACAGACTGGAACGTCAAGAACTCTAAATGTTTTATCTCAGCTCACAGGTGAAGTCAGTGAGAGCACCTTCCTGAAACCAAGATAAAAACCATTTGAATTCATGATGGCAAAGTAAGTTCTATCACCTGGATTTCAATTTTGGTCTCCGACAACTTCGGAAGAACTCTTGAAGCTGGATGTGTTCCAAAAATGAAGCAACTACCAGGAAAAGCAATTAGGAGTGAATGAAGTTACAGCTTTCTTCTGCACAAACAATGAAGTAACACTATCAAAACACAGGGAAATATAAGGGGAACACTGCCACTGGATGCCTGGGCAGGTGTAACAGTTGAAGACTT